GGGTAGGGTATGGCATAGGCGCGGGTTCAGTCACTGGAGGGGTACTGGCGATGGGTGATTCAACTTTTTTTTTTAGAGTGTACACTGACAAAAAAAAAGGTGGGTTACGTTTTTATGCGCCGATGTGAACACGTTTTTATTATCGATGATTGGTTTCAAGGGATGAATGGAAACGTTCATAAAATTGACATTTAGATCACATCTTAGGACGTCACCGCATTAAGTACGTTCATCTCAAATTCTCAACGGTTATGACCGGTATCGTCTTTTTCTGTTTCCCGTTTCCCATTTCTCATAAAAATGCATTTTCTGTTCCCTGTTTTTACACTCCCTCTTTCTCCCCCCCCCCGCCTCTCTCTCTCTCTCTCTCTCTCTTTCTCTTTCTCTCTCTCTCTCTCTCTCTCTCTCTCTATATATATATATCTCTCCTTTCCTCTCCCTTTACTCTTCTTTTTCTTATAATTTCTCTCTCCCTCTCCTCATCTTTCTGATATCCCTCTCTCTCTCTCACACACACAAAAAAAAACACACACACCTTTTCCACTCTTTCTCTCTCTCTCTGTCCCCTCTCTCTCTCTCTCTCTCTCATGTTTCTCTATATATGTCGCTGTTTCTGTCTTCCCTCTCTTTCCTTAAAATAATATTGTTTCCCTCTCCCCCCCCCCTCCCCCCCCCCTCTCTCTCTCTCTCTCTCTCTCTCTCTCTCTCTTTCGGAAGGGGGTATTTCTTTCCACGTATTATCACCTCAAATAAACTTGTTTTTCAAGAGGTAGTCCTAAGCTATACAGTCTTCATGTCACCTTTATTTGTAGCATTGAGTTGTGTAAACAAGTTACAAATAAATAGATGCAAAAGATTTGAATATCAATAGAGTTTCTATTTCAAAGAAGCGTAAAGATTAAACACTGATAAGTACCATAGTAAAGAAGCTGTGTACAAACGAAGAAAAATGAAGTTTCAAAAGGGGGAATAAACACAAAGAAAGAAAAAGAAAGAAAGAAACAGACAATTAAAACGTAGAACTCGTTGAATAAGAGTTCATCATTGAAACCTATTTGCCAAGCTTTCTATTCCATACTTAAGTATTTTGGTGCATACCCTATAATTATTGTTTGTCATTCTGGTCCCGGTATTTTTGGATTCATTCTAGAACGACCTTCATTACAATGTATCTGTCGATAGAGCAACGCTTATCTGCTTTTAGTTTATAATTTGAGACCCATCAAAATAATCGACATTACGTAGATTGCCCTAATTTGTAAATGTTGAAAGATAATGAATCAATGACTGTGCAATCGACGAAATTACACGTCTGGCTAGTCTCTAAAGCATGAGTTAAAGCTGCAATCTGCAGATCTGTCGGTCTCATTTAGTGGCGTATCCAGAATCTTATCAATAAGGGCGGTATCTCCACTAGATGGGGTGGGGGTGGGGGGGGGGGGGGGGACTCTCGGCAGCCCATGATGTAGACCAATTGAAACGCGCCATGCTCTTATTTTCCAATGGTAGCTTTCATTTTTCCTTCAATTCAAAGTGATGTTCATTTTCATATTTTCACTGAAGTTTTATTTATTTATTTATTTTATTTATTTATTTATTTATTTATTTATTTATTTATTTATTTATTTATTTTTTTTTGGGGGGGGGCGTACCCCGTTCCCTCCTATGATACACACACCGCCTGATACCAGTCCCCAGGGGCGGCGATCCCGGGGGGACGGGGGGGACACGTCTCCCCTCAATTTTTTTAGGGGGGATCGTCCCCCCTGGAAATTTGAAAAAGTGCAAAACAAATTGTATAGCATACACTGAATAATGGCTGCAAAACCCACACTTTTAGGCTCTGGAAGGCCCAAGAGTGCAGCGTTTAGACTAATAAAATTGCAAAAAAAATCTCGCTCGGTCGCTACGCTCCCTCGCATAGCATCCTCGTAAAAAAAAAAAATCGCATTTCGTCCCCCCGGTCATTAACAGAAATCGCCGCCCCTGCCAGTCCCTATCATAATGTTTCAATAGTATGTTATCTCGCCTGAAAGCTTTTCATCCTTGCCCAGCCTGCAATGGAACCACTGCTCGGCAAACATTGCGCGAGGTATTATCGTTTCCAATTACCGACAGACGATAGGGAATGCAAACATGGCGAAAGAGTAACGAGAAACAAGATTTCCTATCTTCTATCCTATTTCGCTCGGCGTCATCTGCGTATTTACCTCTCTCTTTACCAAGCTTCAAACATTGAACGCGTATCGACACTTAACAATAAATAATGTAAGATCTGGTTGCCAGGTAACCAAGCTCCTCAGAATTGCAAAGCATATACGACTAAAAGCAACACGTTATTGCCCCGTCACATAGGAATGAATAAAACATGGAATATGTGTGACTTTTGGTGGTCAAAAAGAAACTGGGTTATTTTCTGGGTTTCATGCTAAAAGCTTGAATAATGTAATAAAGATGATACCAAAAGTTAACACTGCACAGAATAGAGACCCTAGTCTACACTTCATTTGCCTCTGGCGTATCTTCATGACGCCAAACACTATTTAATTGACCCAATTTGTCTAATTCGATATGCAAAATAACCTCCAAAACGACCAAAATAAACTGAACTCAATAAATAAATGAAGTCATTGATACTCAATACTTTTCAATGAGCTTTTCCCATTTCGAGTCTAGTATATAATAATAGAAATAATAATAATAATAACGATGGTAATAATAGTAATCGTGATGATAATAATAATTCATATTACCCAAGCAAGCCTCATCAGCATTAATGCTGTTTTTCTGAAGGCCCTGTACACTTTAAGAAAAAAGGGTGCCAAAAAGGCACCCTTCCCACAAAAATGAACCCTATCGACCAAAAAAGGGTGCAAAATAAAAGTTTGCATATTGCATGCGTATTCATGATTACTTTCCACGTGTTCACATAAAATAACATTTATCATGATTTGTTAAGCAAATTATATTTTGTGATTTGTATTTTCCTTTGGCAATTATTAACCAATAGATTATTTTGTCTGATCATGTTACAATTACATTCACGTTTTAGCAATATATATTATATTGATTATATGATTACTAACCAAGAAACATCATGCATATTTAATATGTATTTTTGTACGAGCAAATGTTACCAGTATTCCTCGATGATGGGTGCAGGATTGAACCCATAAAGGTGCTGCTAGTGTTGCATCGGTTTGCACCCCTAAAGGTGCAGGAATGAACCATAAAGGGTACCATTTCCCCTAGAAGGTTCAATTTGGCACCCTTTTAAAGGGTGCAGGATTTAACCCCTAAAGGTGCTGCTATTGTTGCATCGGTTTGCACCCCTAAAGATGCATACTTGCACCATTTTTTCTTAGTGTGTAACGCGACAATGCTTAAATCTGAACTACACTTTTAAAGAAATTGCCCCGGTACAATGTTTAGTTGAATCAGTATATGCCTACTTCATGGTGATGATTATTATGATAATGCAGTCAAAAGTAGGGCTGATAGTATGCCGAAGGTCATAATATCTAGTGGGGTTACATGCTCATTTGAACTTACATTATTCATATGAGAATATAGGTCACTAGCTTTAGGCCATATTCAACTTTCCTCTGAATATAAAAGCACCTCTTTTACAATTTAACGTTCAAAGAGGCTATAGTGGTGTATCCAATACACAATGGATCTGATTTAGAGTGGAGTGCTTTTGATAATAATGCCCTACTCTGAAAAGGGCTTTATTATCACGGATGATCTTTTAAAAGGGATAGTATAATATCTTTCTTCTTGCTTATTTTTCCATTTTTGTCCTATTCTTTAACTTGATATGATTTATCAAAGGATGGGAAGCTTAAAAAGGTTTTGATACAAATAAGTTCAATAATAATAATGTAAAAAAGTGACGGAAACGAGTTCGAATTTGGAAAGTTCAGCTCATTTCTTTTTTGCTTTGTCCACTCTGTGTCCATTAATCGTGTCTCTTTGGCTCTCTCTCATCGTGTCTCTTTTCCCCTTTCTCTCTCTGTATCTCCGATTTTCCCTTTCCTTTTCTCACTAGCCCCCTCTCTGCCTCTCTCTCCTCCTCCTCTTCCTTCTCTCACTAGCCCCATCCCCTCCCCCTCTCTCTCTCCTCCTCGTCCTCGTCCTCATCCTCCTTGTATTACCCTCTCACGAATTTTACTAGCGCTCTCTCTTTCTCTCTCTGTTTTTTATAAGTATTTTCCTAAATTCCACATTACACTTCATTAATTGAACATCATAATGGTTGCCCTCTAACTGCGGCATTAAGGTCTTAACTTCGTTGTGTTACTTTGTGTTACTTTCGATTTCGATTTCAATTTTATTTTCATTTCCAACAGAACAATCAATATAAATCAATCACAGAAATCAATGGTTGACAAGTAATCCTCATCATTAGGCATGAACTTGACACAGATGCTATGTCTATGATTTACAAAGTTGAGTGGACAGCATACTTGATTAAGGTAATTCAACAACAAAGCCAAAACAAATACCTCTGAAAATGTTGGTATAATAATTCTAAATTACACAGTAGGCCGATCATTCAAAATAATCTTCCTTCAAAGAAACATTTTATCCTGTTATTGAGTTTGGCATTTACCGGTGTGATTGTGAATAAATTTTACATTATGATATCCTGATTATGGGTACATTTCATTAGCTCTGAAATTAAAAAATTGCTCCTGAATGACAAATTTCTCGCCATATGCCCAATACTTTTGATTCCCCTTTTCTGTATAAAATAAAAGGCTTATTTAAAAAATGAAATGCAACCTAGCTCTACCCATAATGCCTACTCAACAAGTTGTGATGTCTAATATGCTCTCAAAATAGGGAAAATTTGACATAGATATTGTTTGACATCATTATTAAAAAGTAGACCCAAGGTCACGGATATTTGGTTTAGGGATAGCCTAAAGCGAGTTTCGGGTGTACAACCCAATAGGCGCCATTATAGAAGTGGCGCCTCACTCTGCATTAGTGGTGTCCGTGACGAACACACACACACATAATGTGTGTACATGTACAGTACTAATACCATCGCAAATGCAGAGTCGAGTTGCACGGCATTCGGTGCACTGTGTGTTTTCGTCGCCCGATCTCGCCCATTCATTCAGCCAACACGCTACCAGTACAAGCGCACGCACATTCTTCAATACGATACCGGTACTGAATCATGGATGTATAACTTGGAATTTTGCCGTGGAAACTGATACAAATTGTGCTAATTTTTGGAACAAACCATGGCTACTTATATCATCTTTATAAGCTTTTTCTTCGTATTGTTTGTTCTCCATCTACCTTGCCCTCTTACTGCCGAAGAGAACTTAAATTTAGAAACCGGTAAGTGTAAAATCCTTCGCCTTTTTACAGGTGGTTTTGGCTGTCAGCTGTTTGACTTTTACGCCGTCGCTGCCGTATGGCTGTATGTGAATGGTGTACTAGTCAGCTGGGTGTTGGCTTCTTGCCCCACATATTGATATTTGCGGGGGATGAATGGTGATAATAATGAAAACAAATACACTACTAGTATCACACAGGTACACATTCTCGAACTTTATTATGCAGTATTTTTTTCGAAGTGCTGCTTTTGATACATAGCAATGCATAGCAGCTTCGTGCCACCATTTTAAAGATTTTAAAAAATTGATTTAAAAAAAAAAAATTTTTTAAATCTTTCGTCTGGATCCAGAATGCTCTGATTTTTACAAATTATGCATGAGTGAACGAGAGCGATTTAAACAAAAATAATCATTAAGGCTCTACATAGGCAACATAATGTGAAATGTACTTTCACTACTTTCTTGAAAAAATTGTTTGTACAAGAACATATGTACACTTTTTCATCATACATTTTCCTTTTTTCAAACTCTTAAAGGTAAAGACCAGTATTGGAAACGCCCCAATTTCAAAAAATGAAATGGTAGCTCTTTTATTACAAATCGTGTGAAAGAATATGTTTTGACTAATACATAATGATAACAATTTTGCCGGGAAACCGCCTACTACATGTAATTGATATATTTGCTAAATTAGTTTATCTATTGGACTGTGAGAGATAAACGCACGTGTCGCGCATGTGTGCGTAGTCCTATATACATCTTTCTGTGTACAGTGCTTGTAACTTTACGAAGACTGGGCCAAATTTCTTATCATTTTGATGATTCCAGAACCTTGCAGTATACACACCGATACTTATATGCTAGATGATCAACCTTTTCTGATCGATTCCACAGCGTTTCTTTCACAATGCAATCGCATGACAATAACTGGTCTTTATCTTTAAAGACGGCAAAATGTAATAAATCGTTGCCAATTTGAGGATGAAAAGCTTATTGATTTACATAGGCTAAAGGGCTTAGGGATAATGTAAATACATGTATGATCTTGATGTCACCTATAGCCCTAATTGGCACCTGTACCCCTGCATGAATGTAGAGGCGCAGGTAAACAAAACCTAAATGTGTCTGAAACTACCCCCTTCACCGCGCAAGACAAACGTTGCACAGTGGCTTCGGAGTTCGCTAATGGACCCTTCTTTCTTCTCATAAAAAGCACTTTGAATTTGGTCAAGAAATAAATATAAAATGTAAGATTTTGCAACTGGTGTGATAGAGATTTACTTACCTTTCATGTGTTCCTGATAATAATTAGTAAACGTGTGATTTACATTACTAAAATGCTGACCTCTTACGAGAGTTCGCGATGTTGGTTCGGGCTGAAATACGAAGACACAAGATTTGTACACATAAAAAAACAGCTTTTGCATTCCAATTTGATACTTTCTCTACGATAACAGCAATGTACAGTACAAAGGCGCAAGCAGGGAGTTCACTGGAAAATTTGCAAAATTTCTGGGTGTTTAATTGAATATGGCAAACACCCAAAACGAAAAACACCTGAAATTTTTGAAAAATGGGTCTTTTTTCGTGAAAAATGACCCTAATTAAGGGTAGGGGTTTTGAGGCTTGAGCGGCACACCCTCGTCCAAACCACGTCTAAACCATGTCTGAGTATCAGGGAAATAAGGAATCACCTGTCACTTATAAACATCTTGTCGTACTACTGTGGACATGTAAATGTACTTTGATGTATTTGCTACCAATACACAGTGTCTCATTACTCCACAATTAAGGTTTTGTATTGATATATCTCAAAATAATGATTTTTCAGGAATTCCCAAATGAAACCACATTGGGAAAGACATGTTTGTCCAGCTTGACAGGTAGCCTGGTCCTAGTTGTAGTAGTGTAATGTACATGTAGTGTAATTAAAAAGAATGAGATTATCTATTTGGTAATTATTGACTACTTCTATGTAAATGTACCAAGCTAATGTCTGTTTGATGCCAGAAGGACATCAACTCACATAATTACTTTAACATTGAGTGAATGCCCTTCTGGCTCTCAACAGATGTAGATTCACCAAATCTAAAACCTTCATGGTTGACTAACTTTACTTGACACATTACCTTTAATTCTAATGATAAAGAAAGTACATTTACACATGTATCCACACATACATATTGTACATGTATACTGAACTGTACAGGGCTGCACATGTATTTGCAAAATTAAGAATTAGAAGTGGATACCGGTAATGTCAAAGGCACAACTGCCAGCAAGCCTGGTAAATATGCAATGGAAATATGGACTACATGTACATGTAACTGTAGCGACTAGCGAGTATGAGTTATTGAGTGCTTACTAATTCATATTTGCCTTGTGGTTTGTTTACATTCACTTCAAAGCACACAGTCTACTAAGCTGGCATTTGAAGATATAAGATTTGTACAATCTATGTACCCGGTACATGTACATTGTAGAAGTTCATTTTGATTTACCTTGTTGTCCATTTTTTTAAACTGAAACCATTTTGTGATTTTTTGTTGTCTTCCCAGTGCTTTTAAACAATAAGAAATGTAGCGTTTTAAAGGTTATAAAGTCTTTTAGATTTGATAGAAAAGAAGGAAACATGCTGGCTTAATGTTATCAGGGCTCCACACATTAAAAAAAAAAGTCTGTACTGTATGCATGAGCCCTATATTTTTTTAAATACTTTGGGGTCTAGACTTCAATTTTGGGTGACCATGTGTCCCAGGAGCCTGCCTATACAGTACAGTGTCCATGTGTATAATGATTATTTCAAAATGTTATTTAGATCCTAAATTGTCACTTGTTGCCATGTCATCTTTGATTACATTCAATGAATTAGACTTGGTTTAATACATTAACTTTGTTTATGCCTTTTCATGATTTAAAAAAACAATGTATTTCTTATTTCTTCAAAAAATGAATACAAGGAGTTCTGTACAAATAAACCAATGGCAAGCAAATATATGAAAAAACTCAATACTGTAAGCATAAGTTACAATCTATCGGATATACATGTACATGTAAATCAGACTGGTATTGATTCTACACAAGGTACATGTACATGTTTTCATTACATGTATGTTGTTGGTACTGTATATGAACTGAATGTCTGCAAGCAAATTACAAACTACAAAATGTAATACGTTTTTGAGATTTCCGTCAGTGGTAACTGAATTTTTGAATGTAGAAATATACAATGAAAAGATATGTTGCTATAATAAACATGAAATATTCACAACATTTCTGGATTCCAGGAAGGCTACAACATGTACATGTATGTCAAATAGATTCGTGGTAAAACTGAGACTCAATAGATTTTGAACCATAAAGGCCAAATATGATAATGCGATAAGACAGCTTAATGCAGTGGAAGCGTAATGCACGACCATACAAGCTGTGCACAGTGGAGAGAATCTGGTACCAAGGTTTTACAATGTATACTGTTCATATTTTCTCCCTGGCAGGATATCCATAAACAGACTGGGAGTCATTAGACCATGATGTTAAGAGGTGCATTCATCCTTGGTGTTATTGCATTCCATTGGCACAGTCGATTCTTTCAAAATAATGCACATTCCAGCTTAGACTTTTAAGGAAAAATATCATTTTCGAGTTATGGCACCGCCGAATAACATCTGGTTTGGGCCTTTGGGGTCTTTAGAGATATGGTAAACTGTTTTTATGAAGATGATTCAAGATATATTGTCACTCTTGTGTATGAAATAACAAATGCATTTTAGCAATTGTCCCACCAGTTGTAAGAGATAATCTGCTAGTTCTGTTATAGGTACTATTCAGGGATCAACACTATAAGTTGCCTGGAACCTGTGGGCCCCTTAATCCCTGGAATCTACACTGTATGTCTGGACCCCCCCCCCCCAAATTTCAGTTTTTTTTTACAGAGGGTTTATGCATACATGTACATACTCAAATCCGGACTCCCTTCCAAAAAGGTTGGTTTGTGTTGATCTCTGCTCTTGTACTTCGCTTTACATTACACCCTTGCTACATCGCTAAACTCAACTTTAAACTGAATCTAAACAGACTCTAAACAGACTGAAGACACCAAAATATTGATTATTTGGATGTATAGTACTTGTATGTAATTTGATTTTTGTTGTAGTTGATATGATTTGGATATTACTCTTTATAATTTTTAATTCGTATCATTGTCTCTCTCTGTCTCTCTCTCTTTATCTCTTTCATTCTCTTTGTCTATGTCTCTGTTTTAAAAAAAATTCTCACTCATTCTTTCCATCTCTCTCTCATTTTCTGTTTCCCTCTCTCTCTCTCTCTCTCTCTCTCTCTCTCTCTCTCTCTCTCTTCTCTCTCTCTCCCTCCTCTCTCTCTCTCCCTCCTCTCTCTCTCTCCCTCTCTCTCTCTCCCTCCTCTCTCTCTCTCTCTCTCTCTCTCTCTCTCCCTCCTCTCCTCTCTCATTCTTTGTCCCATTCTCGGTCTCATTCTGTCATTCTCTCTCATTATCTCTGGCTACACCAAGAAGACATACATGTAGTAAATATATGGCAGTTCATAAACATCAAATATCAATTAATTGAAATTCATGCAAACAATACTGTAGAAGATTAAGTTGGATTTTATCCAAAATTCAAGAGCTGCAATGTACATAACTTAGGAGAGATGAACTTCTGACTACATGTATGAATTAATTGTATTTCAAGGAAACCTAGAAGCCAACCTACAGACACAGTACATGTACATGTACATTGTAACCTACACTGTACAGTGTACATGTACATTTATAAATGAGACAGCATACAACGTCCAAATGATGGTTGCTCTCATCATTTCTGAGTTAAGATGCAAAAGTGGCATGTGACAAAATATTTATAATCTAATCATATCAGAAATTGGTCTGAAATTGGCCTGCCCTGCTTAGCTGATGCAGCCATCATTTTTTCCTTTTCTTCATTAAACAAAATTACCAGAAGACACCTGGGCCCATCTTAGGAACTGAATGTCAGGAAATTTAAAGGCAGATGATCCATGACGTACATGTTCATGTAGTTGTATTAGGAAACATCACCTTTTCCAGAACCTACAATGTAGGCCATCTACACAGCAAACTATACATACAATGCAAGTTTTTAAATGGATTAGTGAACAATGTACACGTATGTGGTTGTATGTCACAAATACATGCAAAGTAAGTGAAAACATTAGACACTAGCCAGGAGTGTCAGGTCTAACAGACATGAATGTTATTCAGTGCACAAACACACTATTATTATTGTAATGAGCAAATATTATACAATGTTGTGTATATGAACACAATTGTAATGGTTGCATTAACATGTACTGCACGGTATACATATGAACATTTAATGCTTATTATAGTCCTGTCTTCATACAGTTGTAAAGAATGTCAAATAATAATAATCATAATGTACATTTACAATGCTCATGCATACAAAACTCTCCATTGAAAGTATTTCCGATGAGAAATTATATTTTGAAAGCCTTTGAGGCTTTGACACAATGTCCTTCATTTTCATAATTAAATTAATCGCAAAGTTCTTTGGGCATTATATACAATACCATTCAGACAGAAGGAGGTGAAATTTAAGTGAGGTTACGCTGTAAATGGAAATTTGCAAACCATAATAGATGATGTTGACAATACATCTATCAAACCAAGCAGCGCTCAGGGAGTAACGGAGGGAGGGATGGAAAGAGAGAAAGAAGGAGAGGGGGGGGGGGCACAATAGAGAGGATTGGAAAGTAGAGGGAGGTACACGTAAAGGTAGAATTCCTTTTTTTTTTAAATTTCTTGTTACTGATATGCATTCTTGTAAGTTGTAAGATTTAATAAGCTATTGAAATGAAATGAAAAAATGTATAAATATTTTAAAGAATAATCACTTCTGATGAAAAAATCCCCCCTCCCCATTTTCAAGGAAAATATCCCTGATAAAAATACTGTTATGCATATTCATTTTGGTTATCAAGTAATATGTCAGGTGGATAATGCATCTTCATTTCTTTTAAAATTTGGCATCTTTCACAAGATGAGATGCAACCTCCGACACCCATCTTAAGACTCCACCAGGAAGTGCGTGGCATTAAGAAAGGCTCGGCCCACCTGCCCTTTATCCAATCCCAAGCCTTTAGGGTAGCGGGGGAATGAAGATGAAAGCCTAGGAGCACATAATGGAGAGACCAGCCAGTGCTTGATTAGAATAAATGCTACCCTCATTTTTAATACCACACTCATCCAATCCAATTGTAGCCATACATCTTCATAGATATAAGAATTGTAAAGTATAGGATAAAAGGTCACCTTAAATATGAGTTGTGTTACATGTATGTATTGGATGACATATTTTATGTATGTAATACACAAAGTGTACCGTTAATAAACAAGACGAAGGTTCTTATCGAAATGAGAATTGTAGACTATAGGGCCCCCGTCTAATAAAGAGTTGCTATTGACCTAAATAAATTTCTTATCTCTTATGTACATATTTGCGATTGTTAGCAATCACAAGTAAGTTGCGATTAATATTAACTCTTCATGAGATGGGCCCAGATGTACATGTACAGTGGAGGTTGAAAGGTTTTATAGAATTCAAAATTATGGAATGCAATGTAAAAAGTCACATTTTACATTTTCTAACCATCAAGTGCTCAGAGAATGCTTTCGTAAAATTCTCAGGAGCTCCAAGTTTTTTTGGGCTGCTGTAGGGCTGTTTATTTATATATTTTATTACATGTACATGTACATTTGTAGATGTTCAGGTGTATGTTGAAATTTTCTAGAACAAAATTGAATTACTCATGGCTCTAATAGCTGTGCATACATGTAGCTTGATTTTTGTATTCATTTCTCTCCTGTATCTTTCCATATTCATGGAAATCTTTTACCTGTTTCACAAGAAATTGTGATGGGAAGTGAGTTGTTCTACATTACAGTATGTAGGACACTTTTCCTGCCCCTGTGATAATAAACACCTTTAAATGGAGTTTGATTTAGTCATAACTCAATCATTACCTGATAAAAACTCCCAGGTTGAAGTGAACCCACTTGACATGATTGTGCATGGGTTAATTTTCTTTCATTTTCGTCTTCTACCTGTACATGTATATCTCTACATGTATATTGTTGGAATCCTTTGAGAACCTGTTTCACAACAAACTGCGATGAGAAGTCCATCATTATAGAAAAATGTCCCATCTCCTGTGATGCCAAAATAGAGTTTGTTTTAATGATAACTCGTTCATTACCACATGAAAACCCTCAAATGACTACCAGTACCAGGTTGAAAACCACTTGACATATTGCGCAAGGGTTAATTTTCTTCCATCTTTTTTCCTCCATCACTCCATTTTTGTAGAAAAGTTTGAAGATGTGCATGTATGTTACAAAAACTGCAATGAGAAGTGTGTCAACAATTCCTTGCCCAAGTGATGCAAATGAAAGCTAAAGTGGGGTTTGTTTGATAACTTTTTTTTGGATAGAGTTTGTTTTTAATGAAAACTATTTCATTACCCAATGAAAACCCCAAATGACTACGTGGTTGAAAACCACTGACATATCGCGTTAGGCTTAATTTTCTTCCATCTTTTCTTTTCCATGATCACTCCATTTTTGTAGAAACCTTTGAGCGTGCGCATGCACATGTACAGTGTATGTATGTTACAGCTATTGCAACGAGAAGTGTGTCAACAATTCCTTTGCCCTGAAGTGATGCAAATGAAAGCTTTAAATGGGGTTTGTTTTAGTCATCCCATCACTACTCTAAACTCCCAATGACTCTTACATGTAGGTTGAGAACCAATACTTTACATTTTCTCTTCTGTGCATAACTTAACTTTGCTATATTTTTCTCAAAATCTTTCATTTCCATAGAAACCGTTGATGACCTGTTTTACAAGACGTGCTACAAGCAGTGTGTGGATCTAGGACGTTTCCCCTGCCCCGACGGATCAGCATCCTGCGGAGACTGCTTAAGACCGTTGACGAAGGAATCTTTAGAAAGGGAAGGCGCCTGTGAACGTAAGCATTATATGTGGTGTTTTTATGTGTGTCATCAATTTGGAGCCAGAAGGTGTTTAACTCATATATACATGTACATGTACATTGTGCTGTAACACTGATATAACGTCCTTTTGGCTCTGAACAGGCAATACACTCTTGAGCAAGACGGATTATCTACATTGCTCCTCTTCACCCTGGTGCTAAATCGGTACCCGGGGAGTGTTTCACAAAAACTAAGATCGACTTTATGTTGGACTTAACTATGGCAGGCCATAAATGCCACTGGTTGCTCTCACCATTGGTCTTGTCAATTATGATCTTCAGATAATATTTTTTCCTTCAATAATGAGTTATCAAAAAATGTAAATTCTGTAGATTTGTGACCATGAATTGTACGTCCCTTGAGAGATCAATGCCAGTAAATGGTGAGAGCAAACAATGGCATGAACTGCCTTCCATTTAGGTAAGTCCAACTTTAAAGTTGATCTTTTTCTTTGTGAAACACTCCCCAGGTGTATGATGCGATGGTCAATGGAATGAGATCTTCATAAGATGTTAACATACTAAACCATACATTCAACCGATAATATTGCATCAGTTTCTGTTATTCAAATTTTGAAAGATTCAATTCTGTGAAAAACAGTTTTGACAATTTCTGTGTCTTTTGTTAATCAGTTAATATTAAACTTAATAATTGGTAATTTTTTGCATCAATTTTGGAGAATGAGAAATTGCCTGTATCTTGATTGAAAAATTACTGTTGAAAAGAGAGAGTAGTATTTTGACCTCCATTCCGATTTTGCCAGCATTTTTTCATAAAAAACCTCTCTTGTATCACCTCTTTGTATACACACACATGTGAATTTATGTAAAAAGTGAATAAAAAAATAAATGTCAATTGCTAGAAGATGGAATATACACATCTTTGGCTCTACAAACACGGTTGAATTTGTCACTCTTGACCTTACTTTCACCAGCTGATGCAGGACAAGTTGTTTGCTTTAATACATCTTTGAAATATACATGTCCCCTAAATGCACTAATAATACACCAGTACATCACACATTCAGAGCTACCAACCATTACGTTTTTCCTGGAATTATTCTTTTTTTTCTTCCAAATTACTGTAGTACGTTTTTTCTTCATAAGAAATATGTTTTTTTAATTAAATTTTTTTTTTTTCAAAAAATTTTTCAATTTTTTTTTTACATACCGCACGTCAGACATTCAGAGAACTGCCCTAAAATTTTGATTTGATCACAAATTCAAGAGAAAACTAAGTTTAAAACATACTTGAACAACATACTTGTTTCCTTTTTTTGGTCGCACAAGGTTGGCAGCTCTGCACACTCATTTTTATACACATTGTACAAAAGTATGAAGCTTCTATGAGAAGCTGTCCACTGAACGTGACTTCCGCTTCGTCAATGGGGTCATTCCAATTTTCCTCTCCGCTGTCGCAAATGGAAGCATTTCCTGTTTGCATGGCTAATAACGATGCGCTGGTGAGGTCAGCGAATCTAATAACGCTCAACGGAAAATAATATATGAAACCCAACTCGTCGATCCTGCTGCATTATGAAGTGATTGGCAGCTATGCGGTGTAAAGGGGATGAAATTTTATTCCTCGGAATTGGGATGACAATGGGAGCTGGAGGATTGTCACCCAAGCCGTCCTTTCTCTCCCATGTAAATATTCCATGGAGAGATTTATACAAATGTCCAATGTCAGGACTCGCGACACTAATGCGTGATACGGATCTTTATGTACAGCAAGCATCAGTAGCATACACATACATACAGTATATGTGAGGATTTTTTCTTCATTGAGAAGAAGGCTAACACATGATTACATGCATTAACATCAGGGGTGTTAATCTGAAAATATTTTACTGAAGGGATTTTCTTAATCATGACAAAGTGCATTTTTGATTACCATGATGCCTTTTGGTATTCGCCAAGTGAAGTTAATACATGTAAGTTATATTGGTGATGCAGTATGGGAAATAAATGATCACAGGCTGGTTTCAATGGGAGTTGCCAATATTACAGTATTCACAGATATAAAGAGGGCCAGTGAATTCTTGTTCTACATACATGTATGTGCATTAAATGTACAATGTGTGTAGCGTAGAGGTGTCTGTCTCTGGACGTTAATAGTTTTGGCCATAATGATCCAAAAGCATTGTCCTTCCAGATTGTTTCCCACCTGCACATGTGCTTTTTGTTGAATGACAAATTGCAAATATTAGAATAAGGGTCGGAACAACGGATTATATAAACTGTAATGTATTGAAAGAAAAAGAGATATAGGAAAAAATGTTCGATTTCAGGGGAAATATTTAGGTTTTCAGAGTGAATAATCTCACTGAACTACATTATTGGTTTTTCTTGGTTTTAATGGAAACATTTTGTCAAATAATGATGTCTGAACACATTTTGACAGGGATCTGAAAGTAATCTGCTTAAAACCAGAAGGACATTACATATTTTTACATGGAGCTGTATGTAAAGGAATGTAACACCCTTCTAGTTCTCAGGATATAATACACATCCAATGAATGCGAGACTGATACAAGACAAGTTCAGTTACATAGTTTGTACAAGTAATGTTTGCAGGTGGAAATTCAGGTCCCCCGAATCTGTCGGCTTTTAGATTGTCAACATTATAAAAGACAAGAAGAAATCATGATCGGCTGTTGCTAGACTACAGTAAATGTTTGCTCAAGATAAAGTCGAGTCGTCAGTTATTGATTCACCCACGTTCCGAGATACATGTAGGCCGATCGAGCTAGCTCCGACAAACACCGGCAGAAAATGAAATGAAATCAACGACGGAGAGGAAGAGGATCATGGGTAGCCAGGGAAGCTGGAGGAGATATTACTGACATGTATAGGGACATCCTCCTGAATCAATAAAGCTGTAGGATATTTCATTTTCAATAGAGAAATGGCTTTAGAAAGAGGAAATAAGTTTGGAGTGACATGTGACATAGTCCCGGATATTGACTTTAAAGTTTTCTCTAAGGCAATATTTGAGATATATGTTATTGTAATGCCTAGAAGTTATGATTGGATAAAGGTGGTTGAATCGATCTACAGGGTGTACATAAAGTCATAGAATGTTTGGACTGAAAAACGACAGGGTTAAAGCCCTGGATGTGTAGCAGTATAGTAAACAAAATTTAGGAAATAGAATGTGGCCTTTACATTTATTTTTTTTCACTTAGAAAATGTTGTTGGCTTTAACTCACAGAAGGCCGTTCTCGCCATTGACAATACACACATGTAGCTCTTACAGTCCTCTTGTAGGCAGCCAGTGATTTACTATTTGACTATACAGGTCCACTCATATAAAAAAAATGCAAGGACAGAGAAAACGAATAATTAGAAATAATGTAAGAAGTTTTTGTTCATGTAAATGTATAGTAGTTAATAAACCTTAAAAAAGCTGTTTCAATGCTTGATACTTGATGAGGTAATCCCTGAAGCAGCTTTTCCAAGCTATACTGGGATGGGATGTGTTGTGACAGCAGGTGAAGGTGCAGACAATAAAAGGGTGTATGATTTTTATATACCGGTATACAGTAAGGTAAAATGGATACTACATGTATTTGTGGGTTAGATGAAAGTTTTTCTGCGGTTTTGCAGAAAGACAATCAAGAATGTGAACACATTACCTTAAAAGAAAACAATTTTTTTTGATAATTTCCTGTTGAGGACTCCATTTGTACAAGAGCCAGGCATACAGTGTTCATAATATCATGGATTATTAATTGAGCCATGTAATTGATTTTTGCCAATATAGAAAAGCACTAAAACCGTGTTTTCTTTCGAAATGTCAAATGTTAGGCAAGCAAATAGCGTAGCTCAAAGGACCTTGGGGTTTCTCATGTCTTACTAATTGACTCCGGGGGTTAATTATGTGAGCGCAGTTTAGTAACGAGTCACCGGGCTGCTATGTAACCTTCTGCAGTAGGAGACAAGTAATTGCCTTAAAGCGTAAAAACACCTCCAAACATTCATTTGGTAGTGTGCGGTGTAGATAAGCATTAATTAATTTACCAGTATTTTGGCCTTTATTCACATCTCTATTCTACAGAAGAATGGCTTTTACCAAGGATACTGTAGGCTGTACATTAAAATAGTAGTGCTGTGCCTGTGGGTAGAGGTGCATTGATGAGGACAAACTAAATATACATTTTAATGATGATAACCCGACTTATCCATATGAGATAGTGAAATGATAAACAATACATACTAATACAAAAACTAAACCAGATTATTCAACAAGGTATGTGTGACTTTTGATCTATATGGCAAGGATAATGGGTTTTGTAATTACTTTGGGGGGGGGGGGGGATTGGATTTCTTGACTGTCTTTGATGGCGTACATGCAGGTCTTTTTTATGGAATTGACAAAAAATTGGTCTCCTCTACAATCTTAGCATATTTTTATAATCATGACCGACTTCGAATTGATTTAAGAAATCATTCTCTCTAAAAACAACACTTTCACGGGCATGGCCAATCAATTTCCAAAGTCGATCAAAGCCAAAGATGGTCAGAAGCTAGATTAAAGCCCCCGTTCCTCCCAGCGCTGCATATATTATCCGCAACTCCTGCTCCTCTCCAGCTTGGTTGTGACAAGCCGATGGCTATATTAGATTAGGACGTGTCTCTGCTGGATTCTTATTTGATTTCTAAACCTGGGATGTGTAAAGCTGCTCGGGCTGGTGGACCACCTTTACACCCTGGCTGGGTCCGGGGAGAGTCAGAAGGGTGCTAACTCATTTATAGTTTAACACAGCATCAGCGCCCCTCTGGCACTAAATAGATGGATTCATATATCCAAGGGAGAATTTGGCCTTTCAGAGTCATGATCAGTGCTTCCATAATCAAAGACAAAAGGCCTGCCTTCATCAGCTCGAGATTGCAAAATTGCCCGCTATTTCTGATTTGGGAAATAAACCAGAGGCTACAAAAGGCCTGTCATCATCAGCTCGAGATTGCAAAAA